TTTAACAATATTTTTTGCGCGAAAATTGTTTATTTGTATAATGATAACATTTTTTAATTATTTTAGGAAAGAATTTTGTTATATCTCCTATTATACGTATATATATATAATTTTTTTTAAGTAAAATATATTACTAATAAAATTAATTCTCACGATTAAGTTTATCTTTAATCAATTCAATGTAAAAAATCAACATTATTTCATTCTATTACAAATTAATTAGTCTCATAAAGGATTTTATAGTATTATCATAGAAGTAAAAGTGAAATTTTTAATGAAAAACAATTTTTTGCGATTTATAATTCGAACTTACAATTTGACTCATTTATGCTTATTATGTGTGTTCAAACGGAAACAACACCCTCAAGATGTTAAATTTGTTTAAGAAATTAAATATTTGTTATACTTTATTTGTTACTTTCGTTACTATGATAAAGTCAACAAATCGATACACTTATTACATGCAAGAATACACGCGGAATGCTAAAGTATTTACAGCAAATAATATATGTATCATTTTTATTAATGGTATAACCTAAAAAAACCAAGCGTTATAGTTGAGTTTGATTATTACAGGAATACGAAAAATTATAATGCAAATATTACAATCTCGAATTTCATTGATTCACCGTATTTTATTTTTTCATAACGTTCCTTCTTCTCGATCTACATAAAAATATTGAACTGAAAATTTGCTTAATGGATGATAAGTAACGCGTGAGCAGCCTAAGCCAGTGATTCGATTAAAAATATTCCTCATATTATATAGGTAAACTAATGTTTAAAGAAGCCTATAAACGTCTCAACATCACATTTTGTTGAAATACAATCTAACAACTTTTATTTATTTACTTTAATGTGTAAACCTAGTAAAGCGGACTCGTCAATTCTCAGACAAATTTAACACAAACCTCTCGCTTGAATCAAACAAATAAAAACTTTTATTAAACGATACAGTTTACCATATCAAATATCATACGACATTAGCATCTTACACCCAAGATGTAATTAGAAATAAATGGTAAAATCTAAGGATGGGCACGGTGTTGAATGTTAAGGCTTACGAAAGTCTGTACTAACGGCTCATGGCTTCTCTATGTGGTCCGCGCTCGACCAGTAAAAGGCGCACGTTCCCATCCGCTGTTGCACTTTGTCTTACGTTTTCATAGGAATTTCATCTAGAGTTCGCGTCGAAAATGACAGAGACAGCAGTGGTACCCGCGACGGTCGAGGCCCCGTTAACATCGGCCAAGTCCGTCCCTAAGAAGGCGGCGTCCTCCAAGAAGTCTCCGGCTAAGCCGCGGACTCATCCTCCGGTCTCGGAGATGGTCAACGCGGCCATCGCCGCCCTCAAGGACAAGAGGGGCTCGTCCCTCCAGGCAATCAAGAAGTACATCGCCGCGACATACAAGGTCGACGTCGAGAAGCAGTCGACCTTCATTAAGAAGTACTTGAAGCTGGCCGTGACGAAGAAGACGATCGTGCAGACGAAGGGCTCGGGTGCAGCGGGTTCGTTTAAACTCGCGGCCAAGGGCGCAGAGGGCGAGAAGAAGGTGGTGAAGAAGCCCGTAGCGAAGAAGCCCGCCGCGAAGGCCAAGAAACCCGTGGTGAAGAAGGCTGTCGCGGTTAAGAAGTCCGTCGCGGTTAAAAAGCAGCAGCAGACGGCTTCGACGACGACGGCGACGACGGCGACGACTAACGTCGCTGCGAAGAAGGTCGCGGCTCCGAAACCCAAGGTCGCCGTCAAACCCAAGTCACCTTCCAAGGCCAAAAAGACCGGCAAGGCCCCGGCCGCCGCCAAGCCCAAAACCCCAAAACCCAAGAAAGCCGCGGCCCCCAAAGTCGCCGGCACCGCCAAACCCAAAGTTGCCAAAAAGTAATTAATTCAACTATTACGAGCCCTTTTTTGGCGGCGGCAACTCTTGTTAATAACAGCCCTTTTCAGGGCTACCAACTTCTTTCAAACAAGGAATCAATCACATTCTTTCAAATAACACGAATTGAATTTCATGGGAAAGTCTTGAATAAAATGACAGCGTAAGCAGTATAAGCTTATGAATACAAGCAAATCTTTTTTAAATACATATATTAATTATTTTTTTTCAATTTTTAATTACATATAAATATACATATAAATTTAAATGAAATATATTGCAATTAATTATATGATAGTGTAACTTTTAAATGGATTTTACAAGAAGAAAATGTAAAAGAATATATAAACAATCCATAAATAATTCATAACTAAGTCATAACATAAATAAGTCATTGATATTTAAATATTGAATTTAATCTTATTACTTTCATAAATTCGCAGTAACAAATTTTAATTTATTGTTGAAAATTAATGGCGAATTTGTAGTGACAAAAATTAACTTTTTCGTTCTTTATTTTATCAATAATTTTAATTGACATATATCTAAAATTATTAACTTAAAAAAATTTATTTAACAGATATTAATTGTATTCGGAATAAATTTTTTACTAGAACGTATAAAAGAAATGAGCACGCAATATTTAATTGTGTTAACGTGTGACATTAAAGTGATTTGAAACTGAATTGGTAAAATTTGCGTATAAGTGTGAGATATACAAGAAATCTGTATTTTTTTTGTCTTTTGCTCTTACTTTACTTTTTATGTGTTTATTTGAACAGAAAATTATAATTTGCGAAATAGCGATTCGTTCGTTAAGAGGATATTTGGTGGCCCTGAAAAGGGCCGATTGTGTCTTTCGAAAAGATCTAGAAGATGTGATGGGATTAACCGCCAAAACCATAGAGTGTGCGTCCTTGTCTCTTGAGGGCGTAGACGACGTCCATGGCAGTGACCGTCTTCCTCTTGGCGTGTTCGGTGTAGGTGACGGCGTCACGAATGACGTTCTCAAGGAAGACCTTGAGCACACCACGCGTCTCCTCGTAGATGAGACCGGAGATACGTTTCACTCCTCCACGTCGAGCGAGACGGCGAATGGCGGGCTTCGTGATACCCTGGATGTTGTCTCGCAATACCTTGCGATGCCGTTTAGCTCCTCCCTTTCCCAATCCCTTTCCTCCCTTTCCACGTCCGGTCATGTTGGATATTCGTGCGGTAACGTTCGAAAGCAATGAGAAACGTCGGTTAATTCTAGCTGATTTGGCGATGCGAGCGCCTTTTATAGTCCCGGCTGCGGCCGAACCCCCACTCGTCCACCCCGAAGCGCCGAATGTATCACGTGACCTGGCTATTCGATATATATATATAAGGGGAGAGTCGCTACGGTACAGACACTTTCGCCCGTAGCATCGATCGTCCATTCGTTTCTTTGTTGCTTTGCAGAAGTTTTTTCCTTGTTGGAGAGAAATGGCTCGTACCAAGCAAACAGCCCGTAAGTCCACCGGAGGCAAGGCCCCGAGGAAGCAGCTGGCGACCAAGGCCGCGAGGAAAAGCGCCCCGGCCACCGGTGGAGTGAAGAAACCTCACCGCTACCGTCCGGGAACCGTCGCCCTCCGTGAAATCCGTCGCTACCAAAAGAGCACGGAGCTCCTCATCCGCAAACTGCCCTTCCAGCGTCTCGTCCGTGAGATCGCCCAGGACTTCAAGACCGACCTGCGTTTCCAGAGCTCGGCGGTGATGGCCCTCCAGGAGGCGAGCGAGGCCTACCTCGTCGGCCTCTTCGAGGACACGAACCTCTGCGCCATCCACGCCAAACGCGTTACCATCATGCCCAAGGACATCCAGCTGGCACGTCGTATCCGCGGCGAACGCGCTTAAACGGTCCTGGCATCCATAAATTTGATGGACATTATTAACCCGACAATCGGCCCTTTTCAGGGCCAACAATTGTATTTGTTTACGTTCGAGCTGAACTACTTCATTGACTATGCCTAGCAAGAGCCCCTTCATATGCAATTTATGATTTTAAATTTATTGTTGTATGATGTATAATTTTTTTCATAAGTTGCGCATGCTTTTAGTAATGGGGGTTTGTCTTGGCAGATTTAGGCGGGAAACGTTTGTTGGAATAAAAATGGAGTCGTTTGCCATACGTTGCTTTTTGTCATAATTAATTGCCAAGTAAAAGTCACGTAATCTATTTATTATTTGTATGCTTTTAAATTTATAATTTCATGTTTTTATATTCATTTGGATATTTCAAGAATCTATTCTACATGTCTACATTCTGTCGTCATATCTACAGGATACGTAATTACAAATATATTTTGTAATATAACATAAAAGAAAATAAGATGAAAATTGAAAGAAATTGTATGAGTTTGTTATAATGTGTATTAAAATAGTTAAGGAAAAAAAATATTTATTTGCATTAATATTTACACAATTATAATAAAGATGTTTTGAATATTTCCATTAAAATGTAATGTTAATTTTATATAACATTAATGTTACCATGAATTTATTAATGGTTATTATTCTGGTATTATATGAATAAATATTTATGTTCACCTTTAAACGGATGTGCATCACTGCACACGACACGCACACGCGCACGCACATATTATCCATATTCATATATATATATATATATATATATATATATATACAAACGAGAATGGGCATTTCTATGTGACTTGGATAAATCATCGTTATTCCACTATCGAATCATAATAAAATCCTTTTCTAAATCATCATTAAATAGCAGGTGAGTCGGATTTTTCGTTTATTTTTCGTTTATTTGTCATTTCATTCGGATGCATTTAAATAATCGCTGTACTTGTAAAACTCGTAACGCCAGATATAAATAACAGAATTTATTCGAACGGGCAGTTTAGCGATATTCCGAAAGGAGTTTGTAATTCGTCGTTGGCATTGGTCGAACCAGGAGAATGTCTGATTTTTAAAATGGAATGGCCAATCGGCGAGTGACGTAGGTAAAATGGGAGCATCGTAGGCTTAAAAGTCATGATGCAACATTAAAAAAATTTATATTCCAGGCAAGAAATTAAATCTCTTCTTATACACGTTTACAAGCGGTATAGGTTAAAGTAATATCGTTTTTTCATTAAGATAAAATAAGTTGATGGGAGGTAGTGTAAACTTATAGTATTACTTATTGCAAGGCTTATTTCATAAATTGGTCATTTGAATTAATTCAAATGCAACGATAAAGCTTTTCTGTTCAGGACTAGTTATTAAATGTATATTGAGTCGAACGGATCGTCGTTAATTCGTTAAATAGTAGAACGTAAAGAAGTGTTTAATTCCATCGAAAATGGGAGGCGAGGAAAATGTAGGTGTTACTACAGGCCAACCAAATTTATTTCAGCAAGATCTGTCAAAATTGGACGTAACTAAGCTCACAGCATTGTCAAGAGAGGTTATAAGTAGACAGGCTACTATTAATATTGGAACCATTGGACATGTGGCTCATGGTAAGTCGACCATAGTCAAAGCTATTTCTGGCGTGCAAACTGTACGTTTCAAGAATGAATTAGAAAGAAACATTACTATAAAACTTGGTTATGCCAATGCTAAAATTTACAAGTGCGACAATGAAAAGTGCCCAAGGCCAGCATGCTACATCTCCGGTGGTTCCAGTAAAGATGATTCGTTCCCATGTCTGCGACCGGTCTGTTCTGGTCGTTTTCAACTCGTTCGTCATGTGTCCTTCGTCGACTGTCCCGGACACGATATTCTTATGGCTACGATGTTGAACGGAGCAGCTGTTATGGATGCTGCATTGCTGTTAATTGCCGGTAACGAATCTTGTCCGCAACCCCAAACATCAGAGCACTTGGCTGCTATTGAAATTATGAAACTCAAGCACATCGTCATCTTACAAAATAAGATAGATTTGGTTAAGGAAGGACAGGCCAAGGAGCAGTACGATCAGATTTTGAAGTTTGTACAGGGCACAGTCGCGGAAGGTGCTCCGGTTATTCCTATTTCTGCACAACTTAAGTATAATATTGAAGTTCTGTGCGAGTATATTACAAAGAAAATACCAGTTCCTATAAGAGATTTCACTTCGGAGCCACGCTTAATCGTCATTAGATCATTCGACGTCAATAAGCCTGGATGCGAAGTTGATGATTTGAAAGGAGGCGTAGCTGGTGGAAGTATTCTCAAAGGTGTATTAAAAGTCGGAATGGAGATAGAAGTGCGTCCAGGTTTGGTGTCTAAGGATAGCGAAGGTAAATTGACCTGCCGTCCAATATTTTCGAGAATTGTGTCATTATTTGCCGAGCAAAATGAACTACAATTTGCCGTTCCTGGTGGTCTCATTGGAGTTGGGACAAAAATTGAGCCAACTTTGTGCAGAGCCGATCGTTTAGTTGGTCAAATTTTAGGAGCAGTGGGTGCTTTGCCAAAGATATTTATTGAATTGGAAATATCTTATTATCTTTTGAAAAGATTGTTAGGTGTAAGAACCGAAGGAGATAAAAAGGGTGCTAAAGTACCTAAATTATCCAAAAACGAGGTTCTTTTAGTGAATATAGGATCGCTGAGTACTGGAGGGCGTGTATTAGCAACTAGGGCTGATCTTGCAAAAATCAGCTTAACAAATCCAGTGTGTACAGAAATTGATGAAAAAATTGCATTATCAAGAAGAGTAGAAAAACATTGGCGTCTTATTGGATGGGGTCAGATTAGAGGCGGTGAAACAATTGATCCAGTGTCAGAGCAAAATTAATTATACGAAGAGAACGAAGCAGTGTACAATTTATTACGAATAAAACACTATGGAAATGATAAAAAAATCTTTATATTTCTTTCTATCATTTTATACAAATCAGAAAATATATCTTTTGAGGGATATAATAGCAGTAAATTGCACTATTTTTTTTTTAAATATCTCCAAATAAATTTATAATTTTGTATCTGAAACTGTTTCAATTTATATTATTAATATAATAATGTAATCCTTAACAACCAGTAATACTTCATATTATTTTATTATTTGAATCTTTGAGAAAGTATAATCTAATAATAATATGTATATTTTTTAATAATTAGAAGATTTAATTAAATATGAATAAAGAACATTGCATTTTTATTTATTAGTTACAAGTTTTTGTGAAATATTATAACTTTGTATATACTTAACCATTGTAACTCATATATTTTTCATTTTGTTCTTTATTATATAAAAATTATAAATCTCAAATTTAATAATATAAAATGTAACATACAATTTTGTATCTTCTTACATAAACTTAATAGTTATTGTACATAAAGCATTTTTTATATCTTGACTATTTTTATAATATATTTTATATATAATTTTTATTACTTAAATAGAATAGTATAAATTATTAGAAATACATATAGAATTATATTTTTATTTGAAAAAACAGATCTAGTTGAAGTTTAATAAAGCTTTAATACTATTTCACTTATTTAATTTAAGTTTTCTTATTATAATGTATTTTCATAAAATATTTTTAAAATTTTATTTTCAAGATGAATATTCAATTCAATTATGATTTATTTGTCATTATGAAGATTTTCAATAATAAGAAACGTTCGAGTTGTTCAGAACATACTTTTATACTTTTTCTGCAACAAATATCATTTTGAAGAATTTTAAAAACAAATCTAAATTAGAAATATATAATTACTTAATTTTACTTAAAAAATTTGTTAAACATTTTTTAACGTAACATATAACTTATTGAACGTGAGCTTCAATAATCAATATTTATTAACATTCTTAACATTAATTTCTTTCGATTGAACTAGAAATTATTTAAGTTTTATATTTAGCGATGCATGATTATTGTTATAGAATTCACTTCAAAAACTATTTGAATTTGTGGAATAGTCAAGTACAATTGGGATAAAAAACATTGCATAATTTTTTGTCAATTAACTGATTAAGGAAATTATTTTTATTAAATTAAATACATTCTTCCATTCCTTCATTTCATTATAATTCAATAGACAAATTCTCAGTCTCGCTTATTCCTAAGATGTTATTTATTACTTCTTTTCAAATACTTGTGTTCGAATAAAATTTTTATTAATTTTGAAATATTTTAAAAGTTTTTTAAGAACAGATTATTTTATAAAAGAAAATTATATATTTTGTATCAATTGAGAATAAATTCTATTGACCAAATATTTACATTGTGCAATAAAAAAAGTCAAAGTAATCAAAGAAATTATATGAATTTATACTTAACGAGTCATTAATTCTCTTTAACGATTGATTCAAGTACTTCAATATAAAATTTTGCTTTAGAGATCAGAGCAGATTTAATTTAAATATATATTTAGCTGTTAATTTTACTTTTATTAAATTATAGTTTTAATTTATTCCTATAGATATAAAATCTCACATTTTATAAAAACAAATATATATAGCTAAAAAAATGTATACATCAATGAATAAATTTATTGTACCAGTCACGTTCGTTTCTGAACAGATGAAGTTATTACATATGATTCATGTTTTTTTTTTTTTTTTTTTTTTTTTTTTAAAGAATTTGTTCAAATTGTACATATTGTACATATGTATAGCTGATTCTCATTTACTGTATTTATAATAGCTTTGGAGACTATAAATTCCAAGTACCATGAGCTGCTCCTTTATTTCTTCCAGTAGAAATATTTTTAACATCAATATAACCTGAAATATAAATTAGGACGAACTTATTAATATTTTGCCCAAACACTTCTCATACGAATTTTACTTATATATGAATGAATTTAACAAAAATTAATTGTTCAACAGAATGATAAAACAATTATTCCTTACCCCATTTGAAAGAATGACTGAGTTGAAATTTTCATGTAACCAACTGAAAAAATTCAATATCCGTTACATTTGCATTCACCGTGCGATTGTAAGCGAATAGCCAAGTAATTTTACTTTTGCAATGTTATCCCCCGCCATTGGGAAATGTGTATCGATGCATTTGATTGTATGATATGATAATAAAATATAAGCATAAAATATGTCAGAATAATAATAATGAAATTGAGGGTTAAAATAATTAAGCAATTTGTTAAGATGATGAGTGATATTGTTAAGCATGTAATTATTCTATTGAAAGTTTTATCGTTTGCAATTATCAAACATTTATTTAGGAATAATATTATTTAGAATATATTATTTAGGAATAATATGCAACTCAAAATTAAAATGATGTTATTTTTATTTTTTTTTTTTGTTATTATAATTAAATGTAAGTAAACGTTAGATTTTCAAACAGATAACAAATACAATTATTTAAATATATAATTTTCATTCGCATTTAAGACAATACAAAATCTATGCGTTTAGAAAATAAATTATCAAGTGTACAATTTTTCGAGTAATATATTTATATATATTTATATGTATTTTAAGCATATAATTTATTTTTAGCGAAACTTAAAAAAATGTTAATAAAATAAATCGATAATATAAAAAATGTATTTTAGCAGCTTTTTCCGTCGAATTAATAAAATAAAATAAAGTTTCCTCGTATGATTTCATGATGGGAAATAATTTATTTTATCACTTTCAATGAAATGGCGTTATTTATTGTAATGTTATTATTATAAATTAATAACTTATCATTGCGAAAAATGAGCGAATTTTCTAATGAATAAACAATTCTCGTTAAATAATAGTTAATTACGTATTATATTACATTCATAAAGTTTTCATTCTATTAAATAAGATCAATTATTTACAAAAAGACCTTCGATAAAATGCCTGGAAAAGACGTTTAAGTTCGTCGACGAAAACAATCTGACTATTCCGTAAGCTTATCCTGCAAACGAGTAATTGCTATTTATATAAAAAAAAAAAAAACAGAAGAAGACAATGTAAGGCAATAATAATATTGAGTGGGATTATATATTACAAATTGAATTTTTTAAAAATTGATAACTCTATACCTTCACGATCAATCCCCAATCTTCTTTAACCATTCGAGCAAGTTTTTCACCAATCATCATAGTTGGTATATTGGTATGTCCAACCACGATTTTCGGCATAATTGATGCATCGGCCACTCGTAATCCATTTACACCAATTACCTTTATAAAAAAAGCACCTCTTATTAGTTTCTATCTGCATTTCAAGGAACTTCCTCGCATTTTAAAAACATACGCTACTATTTAAAATCGTTAGATTTATCAAAATTGAGCGAAGCAACATATGTTTGGAAAAAATGTATTTTTAGACGCAGCAATGTCTATCGGAGTTTCATTATATTTGTAGAAATATTTAATCGATGCTATCATTTATAATATATAATTGAATACCGATAGAATTTTCGGGAAAATGAAACCGAGCAGCACTTTCACGAGCAGTAAGAGTTCTAGATCTTAATAATAAAAGATAATTACAAGATTAGACAATTTTATATTATCGACATTAATCATATTATTATATTAAGGAATAAACGAAATAATAAACCTAACGAATAACGAATAATTTTCCTTTCAATTACCTTTAATCTTGGACCAACGACTGCTCTATTATCATTTTCCGCTCCCATCTTACAGGTACCCGATGGATGATAGAGAGTACTTGCAAAAGTTCTTGCGGCGCATTCCCAATATGCATCGGAATCCTTTAAAAAATCTTGGCAACCGGGAATAGAATTGTCGGGCAAGTGCGCATCGTACATTTGCATCGCGCGGGTTTCACTGATTCGTAATGCTTCGCGAATTCCTAAGATGAGCCTTCTCATATCGTCCGGGTGATCGAAATAATTCGGATTTATCAGAGGGGGCTCCATTGGATCTTTACTTTTTAAAACTACACTTCCTCGGCTTTTCGGTGACAATAAAGTCGGCATTATCATAAACGACTCTTTATTAAGCATATTTGCTAGGTAATCATTGTAATATTTACTTTTGATCGAGAGAGACTTGTATGCTAGTGGATCCGAGCCTACGGATATGCCGGCGAATAGTAATTCAATGTTGGGCGAACCTTCTCGAGCAGTTGGATCGTCAACGTTTATAAAGCCTGCGGCCTCTATCCCCCCGGTAATGGTTAACGGACCCTCGCGTTTTACAAGATAATCGTGAACAACGTTGTTTCTCATAAAATCGAAAATTTTTGATGTGACGACGGTTATCGAATCGTTAACCAGAAAGTTTAGGCCCCAGTACGTTATGTGGTCCATCAAGTTCTTTCCCACTGGTGCGTCTTTTTTAATTTTGATATTCATATCGTTCAAATGGTTTGCGGGGCCAATTCCGGAGAGCATCAATAATTTCGGAGAGTCAATAGCTCCGGCACATACGATCACTTCTTTTCTGGCCAGCACCTTAATTTTCTTCTTCTCTTTGGTGAAAGATACTCCGAAAGCTCTATTTGCGTTATTAATCAGCACCTTGTTTGTAAATCCATTTATTTCGTTTCATAATTTATAATAAGAGATTATATTGAGCATCATTGTATTAATTTGTAAATGCTCTGATACATTTGCATTTTAAAGGAATGCAATCTTATTCGCCGAAGTTTTATTTACATTAAAAGTTCAGAGATTTTTTAATGTAAATCAAGAAAGAAATATATCATTTGGACGTTACGTTTTATCAAACTATTCCACTTAATAATATTTCATATGTAATTGTATTGCTATATTTAAAATACATTTCAAACATTAACACAAAAGTAATTACAAATTTTTGTTTATATTTGTGATAAAATATTTAAATAATCTTTTATATAATCGATAGGAACAAATACTTTTTTATTCGCAATTTTTAAGTTTTTAGTAATGTAATCAAATTTTTCCATTAATTTTCAACTTATATTAAATACTAAATTATTTTTCTTCTATTGAAATTAGAGCCGAGACAATTTTAAAAGCAATAATTCATTAGAATAATAATTTTTATATTCCTATTTAAGTGGCTGTATTTTTATTCTGAAATATTTATAAACCAATAATAATGAATCTAATGTACACAATTAATATCAATTTCTTAAAATAAAGCTTATTCGTTTAATTAAATCACATGATTCTTTATTTTACTCTTTACATTATTCTTTATTAAAGAAAAATTTCGCTTGATTTTAAGCTTTTTTTTTTTTATAATAAATACAAGAAATGTACGTCAAAAATTTAATTAATATCATTTTCTTTTTAATTTCTTCAGGAGATTAAAATTTTCAATGAATTTTGTTTTATAACAGTTACAGTAATCAAGCATTTTTCGTAAAATAAATAGTAACATTAGTAGAATTAATAGTAAAATTAAATGCCACTTACAATAAAGGAATTCGCATTTTATTAAAAAAATTTGCTACATATCATTTTTTACTCGAGTACAGAATTTAAATATATGAAAATATAAATAATTTTTTTGTTAATATAATGAATAAACTATACGTCTATACGCACGTGTGATTTTATATTTTCAACTTCACAAGTCTATTTGATCAATGCAGATAATTACAATAAATAAGCTCAGTTAAGAACGTTTATTTATTATTCTATTAAAATGATTAATTTTTGTAATTAAAGGAAGTTTAACTAGATGCGTAATTTTTCATTATCGGCTAGTGCGAATTGGGTTATTTTTACAAGATTTATTCATTCATTTGGTTACTTTTTCCGCGCACAGAAATATGATGTTGTTGGTTAATTATCAGGTTCCAAATTAAAAAATTCGATTTTCGATATATTTAGCTATGAATTAATTGTAAATGTAATGTATACATAAGTAATTATTTGTATAGTTTTTTTTTATTATTTAAAATTTGTGATCCACTTGTGTTTAAATTACATTTTTTAATGGAAATATTTTTTTTTTACAACATTGTGTAAAACTTCATTTTTTTTAATTCTATTTTTTATCTTGTTTTGATAGTAATATCATGAAAAATAGATATTAACATCAAAACGATATGAAAGTAAAATTATTTATTAAAAATTTATACTATGGTAAATACAATTTATTTATTCTGAAAATTAAATTGTGATGAAAATCGTAATATTATACAATTACTTATGAATTACACGTTATTCTTATTTACTTAGCTTATATAATAATAAAACCATTAATTGTAATAAGTATAACTGAATGACAGATATTTTTTCTGTAAGGGAGAAAAAATGATCAAGATTCTGTTTTTTTTTTTTTTTTTTTAATAAATGTGTGATGGTAATTCAGTTTTATAAATACATTAAAATATATTATAAATTGTGTTTTATTATTTATAACATAAATTTATTTAATAACAGATAGTTTTAAAGGAGAAAAATTAAAAAAAAAAAAAAACAAAATCATTTCAAGAGACTAGAAAAAGGGACGCATTTATTTAGATTTTGACCAAATTTTATCTTTGATTTTTTATTTTTTATATTATTCTTTTTATTTTTTAAGTAGGTCGGTAGGTTTTTATATTTTCAGGCGATCTATAAATTTGTGTAGAAATATGGTTATTCATACCGCAGGGATGAAAGATGCGCAAAATGAACAAAGAAAGGTTGGATGAACAACGAGTACATGGGAATATGACGCTGTGATGGTTAACATTCATACAAAGGTGAAAAGCATCTTTCACTTTTAATCTTTCATTTTTCGAGAAAGAAATATGGAAGATCGTAAATTTGAAAAACACGTGAAAGCTAAAAGAATAACGAGTTTACGTCATTAAAATGAAATTTATTACTAATTTATTTAAGACAAAATAATTTAGCCTTGATAGTTTTAACCATTTGATTGTTTATACTTATATATTACATGATAATTATCATGATGGGATATCAACAGAATTTTATATCTTAATGTTTTATTCTACGATATTTTGAAGAATAAAGAAAGGGAAATGTAATCAAGTTTATTTATTTATTTATTTAAAAAATATTAATATCTACATTTTATTTGAAATTAGTATTTATTACACGAATATAAGATGTTTGGATTTTAAATTATTCTAATAGAACTTTCCCTTACAAATATATATGTTTAAATGTATATTGCATTAGATTCTTCAGAGTGTGAATTTTAAAATTATTTTTAATTATAATTATACAAATTACGGATTATTCTCAGTATAAATTAACAATCGGCTTATTCACTGCAATTAAAACTGAGTATTATTATATCATTATTCTCTCTAAGAATATTAAAATGTAAAAAATATTAATATTTTTTTTTACTTTTACTTCTTTATACATTAATGTAATAATTATATCATTGGGAATAAAGAATAAGAAAAAGTTGGCAAAAAGTCAACGTTACGCGGGGTTCCCAAGCGGTCACCCATCCAAGTACTAACCGCGCCCAATGCTGCTTAACTTTGGTGATCGGACGAGAACCAGTGCTTTACAGCATGGTATGAACGTTAACGATCACAATATCACATTCCCATCTACTCGAACTACCACCTCACCCATACCTATCACATCAAAACTACCCACAACCACACCAAGCGGTGGCTGGTAATTGGAGCAAAATGCGGAGCAACCAATACATGGGAATGCGATAGTGTTGCGTGGAAAAATTGAAAGTACTTTTCACCTTTTATCCTTATTCCTTAATAGTGTTAGTGTTAACGTTCATACCATGCTGTAAAGCACTGGTTCTCGTCCGATCACCAAAGTTAAGCAGCATTGGGCGCGGTTAGTACTTGGATGGGTGACCGCTTGGGAACCCCGCGTAACGTTGACTTTTTGCCAACTTTTTCTTATTCGTTTCTATCGAGTAGTAGTCATCATGAAATTTATTTTTCTTCGTTACAATTTCAATTCAAGTTCGTTATTATTCCAATTCATTCGTTATTATTTCAAAACTGCATTTGAATTAAACAAAAGCATACAAGTACATGTTAATTGTGAAAGGATAATTATTAGTAAATTGGTGAGTATATTTCTGTCATTAAATGAAATCATTTTTATATAAATAAGTTCACTTCAGCCACATTACCGCCAACTTATGTTTGTTTTATTAAATTTGCTTAAAATAAAAAGAACGATATTATGAAATTTATTTTCTAAATATTAGAATTTCACATTGTCCTTAATTATATCATAATAGTACTATCAATAATATCCTAAATGTTTGTATTTGAATGTAATTGTTTTGATTTGATATATTAAATAAATATTGAAATAATAATTGTTTAGTCATATATACAAGAGTCTTTTTTATATTTTATTTTATTTTAAATTTTTTGTTTTGTAATTATAATCGTAACGTTTTTATAATCGTATACATAATGTTGGAATTATTTTTAGACAATTTACTCGAAGGATATTATAATAATAATACTTATAAGATATTCTTAGATAATACATTAGAATAAAGGTTAATATAAATATGCAACATGTATAATTTTTTTAAGTTTGAATAACAAAATGTTTTAACATTTGTTTCATTATCTATTTGTAATTAACAATTATTCTACTAATTTTATTTAATTCATTAAAATACAATGAAATAATAATCTAAACATAGCAGCTCGTATATATATATATGTATATATATATACATATATACTGCAACGAGCTGCTATGTTTAGATTATTATTTCATTGTATAATGGAATTTAATATTGCAAAAATCAAAATTATACCAACGTCTCAATTTTTGTTAATAATTATAAATACGTAATTACAACATTTAAATAGAAATACATAGGTTACATTTAATATACTTAATTATTAGTCTAATATGGAATATCAATGTATTTGATTAACTCACCTTGTGTGCGATACTTTTTTTAGTGACAAACAAATTCGGTCGACCTTTTACTGGATACAGATAAGCTTTGTTGCTACTAAATCTAGAACCATTTTTGATGGTCGCGTAAGTATATGAATATCCTATTTGTTCCTTTCCATCGTAATCTATTATAGGAAAGCCTCGTTCTCTTGCAGCTTGGAGAAAAGCATCCGCGGATATCGTGTGATAGGGCGAGCGAGCTATATTCACCGGTCCACCAGTATTGTGATATTCCTTATCAACAATAGGATCTTGCACATGAAAGTTTTCCATTTTCTTGAATATGGGCATAACGTCTTTCCAGGACCAGCCATCGCAACCCATTTTTGCCCAATCGTCATAGTCCTGACGATTGCCACGAGTTTCTATCATAAAATTGAGGACGCTACTTCCTCCCATGACTTTGCCCCTTGGCATTTTGCACTGATTATTATGCATCGCGCGACAGTAGTTCGGTGAGCTTTCAATCTTGTAATTCCAATTAAACGTCTCGAATAATTGTAAATACATAGCGATCAAAGGTAAGTCAGTAACATAATTCTCTGAGGAGCCAGCTTCAATCAATAGAACTGTGACGTTCTGTATTTCACTTGATTTGATCATGAAAAATATTTTAAAACAAGTCTCATTAAATGCTCAGCTCATTTTAAGAATAAAAATACCAATTTTATTATCATTTCCGAGGTTGTTTAATATTTAACTATCGTTTAAATATAGGCAAGTTATAGTTTTGATAATGGCGCGATGCTTTTAATCACACGTGCTTTTAAATTCTTTCTCTCATTGTTACGCAATAGTATTATTATATTTTATTATATTAATTTTACTTACATCTAATGCATATATATATATATATATATATTGTATTAGTATTTTTCTATGTTATGTGTTTTTAGTATATCATTATGGCAGGGGAACTATTTTATTGTGTTATTGAGCAAGTACCTTTGATTTTCCTATGAACAACAATAAACACACATTTAATAAGTGGATATTATTTCAAACATACAGTACTTATATAATTGCACAGCTAATATTTTGAGTTTTGTTGACAATTTTATTTTTCAGTCCGAATAATTGTTCATTTATTTACAAAATGATAAATACGATTTATCATTTATTATTGAGAAAGTAAGAGTATTACATGACCAGTTGAGCAAAAAATAATAAACATTAATACGATACGGGAACGTCTCTCTTTAGATCCCAATTGAGTTTTGAAACGAATTCAAATCACTTATGTAATAGCGAATGACTTAATAGAATAAATTACAATTTTTTGCAAACATTAAATCTGCAAACATTGTACGTTTCTTAGAAATTGTACGTCTCTCGTTTTATTGTAGCATCGCTCGGTAATGTGCCTAACAACGATTTTACTAAATAGGACTCTTTGCATTCGTAACAGAGAAAGTGCTCTTGTATTAACTAATCGGTACGTTCTTCACTCGAATATTGCCTAGTCAGTAAAAATTCTCAACCAACAGTTACACAAACGTTTTATTTCCAAGTCGATTTATTAATTTTCTCGTAAATAAGCAATGATACTAGTTTTCCCCTTTTCTCAGTAATTTCAGCATCAGTCATCTATCTTTATCTTAATTTTATAAAAGAATTATAATACTTGTTTAAATCATATAAAATTGATGGTTCTTCGACACGGAATATAAAATTATATTTATACGTATTAACATGTGTTGCTACTAATAATAATTTTACCTCAATCTGGCAGCAATAACGGCACCGGCACTACCCGCGCCCACAACTATGAAATCAAAAACATCTCCATCATTTGGTGTCTTATCTTCAAGTTCTTCTTTCATGGCGTGTCCAAAATAATTTATCGAAGGAATTAATGAGTTGAAAATATTTCCAATGGTTAGTAAGAAATTGTTTAACAATTGTTCCCGAAGATATACAAATTGAGGACAAAGCGTAATCAAGAGAAACATCCACAATATTATTTGAAAGATTTTTTTGTTCATATTTCAATTATTAAAATTCCTTGAACAAATTCTGGCTAATGAAAGGGATATTCCATATATCGTCTATAGTATTTCTGTAGAATTATATTACAGTTATATTAAGAAATAAATTTTTAATTTTACATAATATGTATATAATAAAAGTAGCAAGCAACTATCGAATTAAATGAATTTTATGCCAATTATAAGTTATTTAAACATTATAATGTAACTATAAAATAGTTTAGTTAATTAATTTAATTGTTAATAGTTAATTTAATTTAATTAATAATAGTTAATAATTTAATTGATTAGGGCGTATGCGGATACAAAGTAAAGTTTTTCTTTTTAAAGTAATGCATTTTTAAATGATAATAATTGACAACTTTTGTGTTATTATTTTTTTTATTATTATGGTGAAATATAGTTCACGGTAAAAAGATATTTTATGAAATAGAATAAGGGATGAAAATTTTTCAATTTTTTAAATCCCTCGTAAAAATAAATATAAAGACATTTAAATCGTTTAAATTCCAAACGTAAAATTAATATAAAATATTATTAAATATATTGTACATAGAAACAAAAAATATGTTTGTATATGCATGATGTCCGTATAGTGACATTTTATAAATTTAATACATATATATTGATTTAGAATCATGAGATCCGATAAACTTTTTGTAATTACAAAAACAGCAAGTGTACTTCTTTCAATAACAAACAAAGTATGAGTAGAAAACAAAAAGGAGGATAAAATTAATAGATGGATTGTAAAATATTAAATTATCGCTGTCCACAAATAACTGAAGATTATAGTCAATTGCCTTCATAGACTTTTATGCAACTTTTATGTTTAATGTTTTTAAGTTTTATGAATACAAAATGATTTCATCTGTCTAATATATATATTTAAACATATGTACGAATTATTTGTAAAGAAAATTAATGACTATAATATGAAAATTAAATTACTCTTTTTTAGCAGTGATTTTAACGTTAGTCGAAGTACTCTTCTTTAATGTCATTGATTAGTAAAAAAATGTCCGATGCTTTATAGTTTGCGCGGCTATATATTCGATATATTACTTACACGATAGGATAATTATAAAAAATTTCAATATATATAATAAATATATTCAAGATATAATTAGTAATTGAAATTCACTAGTGAGTTACAGTAGGAAACACTTTCGAAATATTTTATTTATAATAAGACTTGTAACCGGCCGTTTATTTTAAATTTATAAATGATACGATTAAATTAAATATACATGATTTGTTAAGAATATCATAAATGATTATTTGTTTGCCGATGCGTTGTTACAGGAAACGAGAAAAGTAAATAATTCAGAATAGTAGCAAGTCTGAAATTTTCCAATAGCAACAATACAAAACAACATAAATAATAATAAGTAATAATAATATGCATCGGGACCAAGTTAACAATTACCATTTTAATTTATGGGAATTAAAAGTTTAAAAATTGTTCCTTTCTTCATTAATAAATGTGTAATGCTTACCTCTTCCTCTCTTCGTGATGCACTGCAACGAAACAAATATGCTTATACAAATTATTAATTTATCCAAGCAAATGAATAGTACTTTCACGTATTTATTGTAAGAAATCCCCTTCCATGCGATTTACATAATTACAATGTTTTATGATTATTTAATTGGTATGCCATTTATCAATAAAATAATAAAATATTTTTATTTAATACGTAGAACAATCCATGTTTTGCGATTGATATATGAAACGTGTTTCTTTATTCATTAAATTAACACGGCTTCATTGTGATATTAAAAATTAAATTATTCCAATGATAATATTAAAATTTTACGAAGCTTATATATGTTTTTTTCTTTCTTTTTTTATTCATCGCTATAGAATTTACTAAATATCATTGCGCAATGCGAAGTTGTCGAGCAGCGAGTAGCTTCTGATAGTATATTCGTTCTCATTACTAAAACTCATTTGCAGTAGTGGACTGTTGATTAGAATAACGTTAAGGTCTAAGGTGAGCTGGCAGTCGAGCGATTAAAATTTTAAGGGTGAGAGAGTTAGATAGATAGATAGAGAGATAGAGATAGAGAGAGATATAGATAGATAGATAGATAGAGAGATAGAGATAGAGAGAGATATAGATAGATAGATAGATAGAGAGATAGAGATAGAGAGAGATATAGATAGATAGATAGATAGAGAGATAGAGATAGATAGATAGATAGATAGATAGATAGATAGAGAGATAGAGATAGAGAGAGATATAGATAGATAGATAGATAGAGAGAGAGAAGCGAAGGCCGTTATAGAGCCGTAATACTCTTATGCAATGGTAACGAAGATTGGCTTCTTAATTTCCCATTTCGTATGGAAAATTCATAATTGGCGCTGCAGTGGTTTAACAATTGACGCGTGCGCCCCCGAGACCGCTGACAAGCCCAAGGTGTCGCGGCACTAGACTCCGCCGTAGCTTACGAGAGCGTCAGAGCGTCTGCCGCGCGAACCTACGCAGATGAGTGCGTATGCGCGGAGCCGCGCAACAGAGAGGGAAACGTGCGGTCGAGGGTGCGGGAGCGCGTGAGAGAGGGAGATGAACGAGCCCGGTTAGTAGTGTCGAGCGAAGCCGAGCTCGGCGCCCCATTGGCGCGTGAAGGAAACGCGAAATAGTCGTCCGCTTGGTGAAAGAGTCGACGATCCGCCGCCGATCGTCACCTGACGACAATTTCGCTTTGTCGTCCACTTCGTTTTGTGGGCCTTTTTGGTATTAGGAGGGGGTCGTGGCGAGAGTCGGTGGAGGTGCGGGCCGTAAAGGATAGTGCGGGCGTCATCGGGTCTCCGTGGTCAAGCGGCACGAGTTCCTCGTCGCCGGTGGAACGTAGGAGGGCGAGAGGGGAGGGAGTCGGTGCGTCGACGACTCGTCGCCGCCGTTGGCCGCCACGCGACCGCCGCTCACGAGGAAGCCAAGGAAGTTGAAGACGGCTATGGGGAACGTCCACACATGCGGGCCTAACGAGGCGCTCGTCGTGTCAGGTGAGGGATTTGCACGATTGTCCATTCTAACCTAGAAATAGTAAAGCTCCTATCCAGCCTCGCATAGGCGTTTCCTTGACGAATTCGAGGCGTGGAGGGGGATGGTGGATCAACCCGGACCCGAGGCTGTAAATTAGCTAGTTTCATTTAGTACGGCCTGGGCCGTGGAGTTTCGATCGAAGAGTTCATCGAAGTATCGCTACTGGTCGGAGCAGGGCGGCGGGATGGGCGTTTAGGGGATGCATGGGAGGGTTAAAGCAGTACGCAGGGCTCGTACGCAGGGCTAAGGGAGACGCCGCGCGCGTCTTTGACTCATCCCGGGAGTCAGGATAAACATCGATGGAGCTTGCGCGCGTCCTCTCGACGCGTGCAACGAGTATTTCTCATGCGAATACAGAGTTTATTTGTCGTCGCAACGCTTCGCTGGCACTTGCACAGACACGAGCTTAGATTCTCATTTTTGGTGAGCTCGCGACGTGGCTTTTATCTCATTTCGCTTCCATTCGCATTGATAAAGCTCGTAGTTTTGCACGCTTATGTCGCAAAGGCGTTTAAAGATAAGTCAATTAGATTAGCAGTAATTTCAAAATCTTTGCTGGTATTCGAGGATTTGATACGAGGTGGGTGGGGGAGGGAGGGGGGGGGATCAGTGCGTTAATCGATTTTTCAAAAGTTGGGGGCTAGTGAAACATTATGCAGTCTAAGATAATGATAATTTCTTCTCTGTATTCACGTGGAACAACGTCTCGTCATGTGGAAAATAAAGCGTGTAGCCGTCACAGGTGTGTGAGATTTGCTAGCGTGTATGAAAATAGGGAGAGGGGTTTGACACTTTATCCTATACCGGGGATGTCGAGCTTTTGAATTTATGATGATATTCTTCGGGAAAATCTATTGTTGTTTTTTTTGCTGTTCTAAGAGAATCTTATAAATCGAAGATAGAAAGGGAGCAAAAGAGAGACGGTAAGAGTATACCAGTGAGTGAGTGAGTGAGAGAGAGAGAGAGAGAGAGAGAGAGAGAGCGTTAATTGGATTACGTCTATAATAGACACAATACTTTTTCAGTTTATGTTTTATTAATTTATTGATTTAGTTAGTAACTTTTCCCGCAGTTTTATATTCTTAAAGTCCCTAGTTATGTTTAGAAATTTTATTGATTTTCTCTACTCTTTCAATTGATCGACGTTACAGTTTTTTTGTATTATTTTTTATTTCTATCATTAATTTTCCTTTACACTATCGTCTGTCTCATGACTATTAATAATGAGCAAATCAATGTTTGTCACCCAAATCTATTGGCCAAGAGGCATTTTACTTATTATATTATATAATCAATTTCTATTTTTAGAAAATAGTATTTAAACACATTACAAAATATCATTTCAATATATTTGTACTACTCGATTGCTTAAAATATTTCTCCATTAAATTTAACAATCCTTAAATCAACTATGCCTTAAAATATTTATAATGACAGCTTGCTTATGAGTGAAATGATTGGTGATCGCATGCATTTTGACGTTATTATTATCATCATCATCATCATAATCATCATCATCATCATCATCATCATCATCATCATCATCATCATCATCATCATCATCATCATCATCATCATCATCATCATCATCATCATCATCATCATCATCATCATCATCATCATCATCATCATCATCATCATCATCATCATCATCATCATCATCATCATCATCATCATCATCATCATCATCATCATCATCATCATCATCATCATCATCATCATCATCATCATCATCATCATCATCATCATCATCATCATCATCATCATCATCATCATCATCATCATCATCATCATCATCATCATCATCATCATCATCATCATCATCATCATCATCATCATCATCATCATCATCATCATCATCATCATCATCATCATCATCATCATCATCATCATCATCATCATCATCATCATCATCATCATCATCATCATCATCATCATCATCATCATCATCATCATCATCATCATCATCATCATCATCATCATCATCATCATCATCATCATCATCATCATTATTATTATTATTATTTTATATTTTATATTTTATATTTTATATTTTATTTTACCAAACAGTATACATACTGAGTTATACGTACAAATACAGTTTAAACTGTTTTATTGTAATGTAGCTTTATTGTAACTTGATGAGTGTTCCTATGTAATGTACAATTTGTGTATGCATAATGCATATCGTTTTCTCAAAATGTCGTTCTCCTAAAGATAATTTTGATTTCCAAATTTGTATGCTCATCATTTAATATATCTATTAAAATAACTTTCGGTTAAGGTGTAATTTGGTTTATTTTATGTTTACATTAGAATTTGATTTTGTCCTTAGTTTATTTCATTATTTTATTTTTGTTTTAGGAATTGGCGACTTTTATTTTCTGCTGTTTTTTTACTTTTTTTTATTAGATGATGCGAGGCGAAAGACTAAAGAATACATAATTTGCAGGAAACATAATTTTCCGCAAATAAGTGTATTAAGAGCCAAAGCTCAGGAAACAGTATTGGGAATACATAATTTATAATTCGTATATCGTGTTATTTGTAATTATATTCGAATGTGTTATTATCTTACACTATTGAATGTAGTTTATTGTTACGTGCGTTATATTGGTATTAAATACATTGAACGAATATATCGCAATTTGTAGTGTACATTATTGAACTGTAAATTTTTGGTGTAAATATATGTTTTTTCATATAAAAGTATTTTGTTTAATATTGAATGAAAAAGTATGTAATAAACAATGTCTGAATAGTTATATATTTTTATGTACGAAATATATGCCCATGAAACTATGTATTTCCTTTGTGATATTGTGTTTTCTTAATTATTTAATCTTCACTTAATATTTATATATATATATATATATAAGTGCGTAGTACTTGAAAACAAGAAAATAAATACGAATGATACGATTTTAAAACGTTATTTTAACATAAATACAAATATTAAAAAATTTTGTTGTTTCTTATGCAGTTTTTGATATACTTAGCGAATTATATTTTTTATCCTAAAATACGAAAATTTGATGACAATGAATCTAAAAGAATTTAATGCCAATCACAAAATATAAGGCGTAGTTAGTTTTAATTTTTTTTTTTTTTTAAGATTGAATTTCGTTTAGATGAAAAACAATTGGACGATTCAAGCCATAGTGCTATAAATTACTAGACATTATTACTATATTTTATACAGAATTTGTACCAAGTAAAGTTTCATTTCAATTTGCTGGTAATGTGAAGTATATGCTGTTGTGGAAGAATTAAGGTTACGTAATAATATGGTTATTAATCATTAATAATACGAACCGTCTATCTCAATATATAAATTATTACATCTATTTTCTTTTTAATGGACACACATGCACGCATATTAGGATTATTATTATTATTATTATTATTATTATTATTATTATTATTAATAATACTACTAGGAAATAGATATGCATGTACGAGCGTGTGCGCAGGGCAGCGCAACATGTGGCGCGAGATACGGCTATTATACAAAAATTATATATATATATATATATATATATATATATATATAACACGCAAATCTCGAATTTATCATTACAATGTACTTTAAAGAGTATGAGCTACCGTTTTGAAGTCTGATAATTCATATAAAAATCATTGATAGTTCAACCTTGGGAGAATAAATTAATGCTGAGAGTTTGCAAGATGTCGAGAATGCTTTAGAGCAATGAGTTCGTTCAATTGGCGCGACATTATGGTTGAAGCTTGTCCGCGGACTGCCAGGTTTGCTTAATCATATCGGCAGCCTTCTCGGCGATCATGAAGATGCCGGCATTCACGTGGCCAACGGGCATCGTCGGCATCACCGAGGCGTCCGCGATCCTGAGAGCCTCGATTCCGTAGACCCGCAGCTGGGGGTCGACGACGGCGCTCGGGTCGCTGGCCGGGCCCATCTTCGCAGTGCCGATCTCGTGGTTCATCATCGCCGGTAGGTGCCTGATGGCGCAGCGCCAGTAATCGTCGCTTGCGAATTCATGGCTTTCACAACCTGGTATCTTGTTGGTATTGAGTCGGCTCTCGTAGGCGGCAAAGGGCCCGGTCTTTGACAGTCGGATCGCGTGCTTCACGCCCTCGAGGATGATCTCAAGGTCGGCCGGGTGCTCGAAAAAGTTTGGCTGAATGACGAGCGGGTCGAGGGGGTTGCGCGATCTCAAACTTAACCTGCCGACGCTACGGGGATTCTGGACGATTGGCCAGATCGACCAAGCGTCTTTGTTCTCGATCGGCTGGAACACGGCATTGTAAAGTTCATCGGTAATGCCGAGGGCCTTGCGCAGGCTTAGGCCACCATCCGAGTGGAGCGAGCCGCTGGCGAAGAGCAGCTCGACATCCGGTCGGGAGTCGGGTGCGTACTTGGTGCGAATGAACGCGAGGGCCTCAGCGCCACCGGGAATCGTCATGAGGCCGTTGTTGTGCAGCGTGTAATCTAGAAGGACGCTGGGCGAGGCCAATCGGCTCTGCAGCAGGCCAACGCTCTGGTTGACCATGAAGGTGAGCCCGAGGAAGCCAACGTGCTCGCGCAAGTTGTAGCCGACCATGGAATCATGGATGACCTCGATGCCGAGATCTTCGAGATGCTCGCGCGGACCTATGCCCGAGAGCATGAGAAGTTTGGCCGTGTCAATGGTGCCCGCCGTGAGGATAACCTCTTTGCTTGCCTTGACAGTGCGTACCCTGCCCTTCCTCAGATACTCGACGCCGTAGGCCTTCTTGTTCTCGATGAGGACCTTCGTCACGTGGGCGTTAGTGAGGATGTGGAGATTCGGTCGGCGTATTCTTAGGTAGGCTTTGGCCGCGCTGCATCGCTTGCCGTGGTCCATGTTTACCTGGATGTAAGAGAAACCAATCTGGTTTTTGCCGTTGTAATCGAGGATCTTGTAGCCGAGACTCTTGCCAGCCTTGAGAAAAGCCCTCGCCA